GTCAAGAGCCGGTTCCCCCGCCCCGTGCGCCACTGCCACGGCCGTCACCGGGGAAGGCCGCCGCGAGACCCAAGACTCGAACCCCCAACACAGGAGCTAGCATAGCCCCCCCGGGGGTCAAGGACAGACACGGTAGCCCACCCCGTGGCGACGGAAGCCTGGGGCTGCGCCGTTTGGCGTTCCAGTTCCCGGCGCAGCTTCTCCCTCGGCTCCGCCGAGAAGGCGCGCTAGCACGCTGGGGAAACGACAGATGATCCTGACGCCGTCTGTAGCCCAGCAAATCGCACGGAGGTGTCACCGCTGCGAGCACCAGGAGCAAAGTCAGCGCCCGTCACCGACACACCTTTAGGAAAAATGTCTTCACCAGTGCAAGTACATTTAAAACTAAGGAGAGGCGACGATTACACCCCACCGGCAGAAATCAATGTAAAGACACAAGAAAAATGAAAACAAGAGCAGATGACCCTCCCCCACACCAAGGGAACATGGATTTTAATTCTTCAGCAAAAGATCTTAATCAGAAAGAAATTCTTGAAATTTCAGATAAAAATTTTTTAAAGATTTTATTTGTTTATTTTAAATTTTTGTCTCCTTGTTTTGTGGTTAAAGGATTTACAATGTTGAGTTTTTAAAAGCTCCGTGAGGCGCAAGGGAAATCTGAAACCCAGTACGAATCATTTAGAAAAACAACTCAGGAGATGAATAAGAAATGTACAGGAGAAATAGATATTTTACTGTGGTTTCCACAGGAAGGACAGGGAAGCAGGATAAGAAGGTTTAAGATTGGTCAGTTTGAATAATTTCGGCACGTTCTGGGGCCATGAGGGCTGGTGGATGACGGTCTGCTGTACGGCAGTCTGATAAAGGTGGTGGTTGAGGTGTGGACTCTGGACTGGTTGGTTTGTATTTGAAAACCACACTTGTGGGGAAGTTGTTCACTTGCTGTCTCCAGGAACTGGCTAACTCCAGTGGCCTCTTCAGAGTCAGCAAGGACCCATATGTCCAACTAGTAACATACAGAAAATAGGAGATGTTATCTTTGTCCTTGAGAGCTACCTAAGACAGGATGGCCTATAATAAACAACATAAATTGATTTCACAGTTCTAGAGGCCAGGAAGATCAAGATTGATGGTGACTTCTTGGTGCATCCTCACATGAGGTTTGGGGCCCCTGTTATAAAAGGGCCAACCCTGTTCACAGAAGCAGAGGGGAGAATACTTGTTGCCAGAGGCTGTGTGGGTGGGGCCTAATGGAGAGAGATTGGCGCAAACTTTCAGTTATGAGACAAATAAGTTCTGGGGATCTAATGTACAGCTATAGTTAATGATATAGTACTGTTATAATAGTGTATTGTTTACTTGAAATCGGATAAGAGCCAGGCTCGGTGGCTCAGCCTGTAATCCCGCGCCTTGGGAGGGTGAAGTGAGTGGATTGCCTGAGCCCGCGGGTTCGAGACCCGCCTGGGCAACTTGGCGAGA